TTGGTCTGGGCCCGAGGTGGGCTTAATAGCCGGCGACTACTGTAGTAGTAATAGTAGAAGCAATAATAAAAGTAGTAGTAGAAGTAGTAGTATTAGTAACAGTAGTAGTAATAATCATAATAGTAGTGGTAGCAATAATATTAGTAGTAGTAATAGAGAAGACGAATCGATCGCTGGGACAATACTTCTATTCGCCTGACGTTTCGCCTCTGATGATGAATCCGCAACGGATCTAGAAAGTGTTGTCCCAGCGATCGAGTCGTCTTTTTCTCAATTACTTCCTGGGACTCGTAGGTTCTCTTGTATTGGTAATAGTAGTAATAGTTGTACGAGGGGGGGGGCAATATGAGGCAAGAGAGGATGGGAAAACATAAGAAGAGCGAACAAACCCACCATTTTTGGTGGTGGGCAGCCGATTGCGTAGGACTTTGCGGAGCCGATGGAGAGACTCTTCGAAGTCAGGATGAGCGACGACGTCATCATATTCGTCCCAATGAAAGCCACCAGTTTCAATTCGAGTGACAATGTCAGTTCCACCAGCGGCGACTGCGCCAGCGCTGAGACAAGCCTCGATTTGCTCCGGTTCCTGAATAACAAGACAACAAAAAGAGACACGACATTATATTATACTACTTGTGATAAGCGAGTAGTCGTGTTTTATTATTATTAAACAAACCCGCAACTGCTGTGCCTTCACCTACAATAGGTAATTGACGTACTTTTTAATGTTTTCTCTGTACCCATATATTTACTTTCATCTTTTTATCAACAGGGAGTCTAAAGGTGTTCGACTTCCTTTCTCTCAATAAACTGATACTGAACAAGGATTCGTTTAAGGTGAGAGGGTATATTGAGTCTCAAGCGCTGCGAGAGGGAAGATATGGCTGCTAATGCTGATGATGATGGGAAAGGAACATGGGACGTATATCAAAATAAACTCACTTTGCAAAGCGCAATGATGCGTCGCTTCGGCAGAAAGGTCAGTGGATGAGGCAAGCGGGTGGGGAATTCGTACTTCGACAAAAATTTGGTCACCTTTTTCGTACGCATGTTCACAGAGACCTGCATTTTAAAGAAAATGTTAGCAAACAGTTTGAGTCCTGCTAGATAATAAGACATAAAAAATACATAGGCAGGGCTGAGATCCAGGAAATACATACAGAAACTGTTTTAAGTGCCTTGAGGACTTAACATGAAAATGTCGCACAGGACGCGACCTGACAGCAGCAAGTAAACACAACCAGCTAAAAAAGACAGAGACGACAGGGAAGCCAGGAAGAGGGAGCCTGGCTGAAGAGTACCCCGCACGCACAAAGTGAAACAACCTTCAAGGAAAGCTAACTGCCAAGAGAGCGCGTTTGGGGGCCTAGCTAGCAGTCACCTAGTCACAGATCCTGCGGCTTTAGATTCCCCGCAATCGAGCCTATCTGACGATGGGTTCAACGTCATGCGGCGTCGCAGACCTGAAGACGCTTGACCGACGTACAGCGCGCACACACGCGCGTCCAAATAGTCGCAGCTGCCTCAGGGGCCACTTGAACAAGCCATCTCCTCGGCCGATGCAGCAGGGGCCTCTATATGTGACAACCCCCTTGGGCAATGCAACACCCCAAACGCACACCATCTGAACTCACTTCACAATCATGCAAAAACAGCTACCACCGCTGTCACACACTGGACGCAGTCACCACTAACATTGGCTTCGCCAGTGGCCATTTACTGCCCGAGACAGAGCGATTCCGAGTTCTGTGCATAATAAAACTCATTGTGCCATGCAGTGCTAGTAAAATAAAAGACGGGTTTTCCCTTTAAGTGAGACCCTCTGAATCAGTAAAGATAGTCTGTTGATGATAGGAGTTCAGTTCATTGGCATGCAGGCCGATAAAGGAGGAAGGTGAAAGTAAGAATGTAATTTTGGCCAAAACTTGATGCCAAAGTAAATCTATACAAAAAATTCATCATATCTGGAAAGTCTTGGACAAAAACAAATGAAGGACGTCAGGAGACGAACGTGAGACTGTTCATGATCGGAAATAAGGGAGCCACAATTAGTAAAAACAAATCAGGCCCTTGTCGTTTTACCAATCTTTCTTTTTTAAACGATAGGGTGACAAAGCATGGACCCTGGAGGTAGCAATCACAAGAAACCCGAACCTCTGCAAAGACGGTGGCAGTATTCGCATGAGTCCGCCTCAGAAGCCCGCTCATTGAATAGGTTTCGTCCTCTTATCCCGTTAGGGTCGACAAAACTGCAGGGATTCAGTTGCAAGTTTCAGAAAAAGAAGCTACTGTAAACGGCCAGATCGAGGGTGAAGAGCATCCTTCCCAGACAGATGTCAAGAACATGCACCTGTAGGATCTCGGGCCAATTCAACTTCAGCCAAACAAAAGTATGATTACCGTCGGCAATCAGCATGCCTTATCGCGAGCCAGTCTAGGGTTCACATGCTGGTTTATTAAGCCAGACCCTACCCCAGTGAGCTTGGAGAAATTTGCTCCGGGAATCTCCGGGTTTTAAGGCTGCCACATCAGGAGGGCCAGGCTGGAGCAAGGTGTGAACGAATGACAGATTATAAGTCACCAAAGCCGATGTCTGTGTGTTTCGCCGACTGCAAGCAATCGGTGAGGTCAAAGAAAAAGAGGCAGCAGTTTTCGTGCCTTTACAAGAACGCTATATAAGGAGTGGGAGCACGCACCCTGGCAATCAGTGGATTGTCCAGACAGTCGTAGACCTCAGG